GCTATTTCCGGGGTGCCTTGAAATTGAAAGTCAAAAGAGACTTTGTGCTGTTAAAGCTAGAGAGGTGAACAGAGTAAGTCTGATTCCCTGTAAGTCTCTGTTGACATCCACCCCTTGGCGCTCATATATGACCTTTTGCAGTTGCGAGCGCCGTTAAACTTCTACTAAAAGTAAATTAGTGCTGGTTATTTGAGTTTATAGTACTGAAAGGTTTTGTACACAAAGTTGTGATTTTTCTCTCGTGCCAAGCGAAACAATAGCAGTTTTTCTAGGTAATAAAAGGTCTGATTAGCATGATAGTCTTCTTTTACACAACATGGTGCTTTCTTTTGATGTACACGTATTGGAAGGGAAATGACCTGTTAAAGAAGATCAAACATTGTAGCTGAAAGTCAGTCATCAAGCTTTCCATTTTCTTTGCCATCTTCTTTAAGTTTTCTGACTTTGTCGTTTCAGTGGAAGAGATTGTTCAAGCTTTGTTTTGTCGCTTCATCCCCTGTCCTGTTAGCAGAACACAACGAATATTTGTCCTTTTTTGGATGGTGGAAGGCAAGGTTCTTGATCTGAAAACTCTGGAATATGTGCTGAAACTTGTTCTATTGCTCCACTAACATTCTAACTTTCTGTAATTATGTGGTAAGTTCAGGCTTGAGTGCAGGTCCTTTTAACTCGAAGATGACATACAACTAAGGCGATTCAGTGCACACAAGGCGATGCAGTGCACAGTACAAGGAGCACCGCAATGTCAAGGGCAGGGAAGTTTTTGTTCCTACCAAACTGAAGACAATCACAAAACTTACAAAAGTAAAACAGTCATATCATGTGACTATTCGAGTAGACTGGATATTTCTTGGACAAAGAGAAACTATCAGTGAACTCGTGTTGAATGTTCGTAGGGATTTAGAAACTGACTAAATCTTTTGCATAATCGTGGAGACACCCACGCTGTTCATTTTGTTGTTGTTTTTGTTGTGTTTTTACATCACCAAAACCAAAATAAGTAAGTTTGGCATCTCGAGTTGATAGTGGTTGGCGGGTGCTCTGGTGTGGTAGCTCCTTCTTTCTTATCAAACATCTATCGTCCTTATCTCCCCTCCTTCTTTTTTATGTTTGTTACTCTCATGTTTGTTACTCTCTTGTTATACCTCTAATCTTCTGGCGCTGTTGCGAGCGCCGTAAAACCTCTCCGTAAAACCTCTACTAAAACAAATAAACCTCTTTAACAATCAAGAATGTAATCCCATACGATATGAATGGGTTGAATTTTATGAATAAATCGTAGAAATTGTCGTATAATATGGCAATGTTAGTACTAAGAGTGACTTTGCTTTGCTTTGCTTTGCTTTGCTCATGAATTGAAGTGAAACAGGGTACAGATGATCGAAACATACCATCCTTAACTGTATTTGTTACACTAATGTGCTATTCCCAGATCGAGATAGGTCACAAGCTGACCTAAATTTTGGTACAGTATGAAGGGTTTGTTTGTATGAATGAATGAGGTGTAGAAACCTTGCGCCTTTGTAGTCTCTGACAGCAAATGTTCCCATACAATCGTTGTACGGTTGTTACAATGTAAGATAACGTGGGGCAAAGAAACATCTTCAAAATACATTATTAGCGTAAACGCAAAGCCTTAAAAATATAGGTAGATAATTCGCTAAAGAATAATTTTTTCATGAACTCATTTTTTGTAAACAAAAGAATGGTTTTGAAAACTCAACGTTTTTAAAAATCTTTAGTTCTAATTGTAGCTGTATTATTAGTGGTATTCATCAGTTCATGTCCTATTATCATCATCATCACTCTGCGCCCCTCGGGGACTCATGCATGTAGATCAAGTTTCATTTGTCAGTGCGATCACTCATCATTTCATTCCGTTCTACATCACCGTCTTGTGTTTTCCATTTCATTTCAGTTGATGTCGTCATCACTTGTAACCCCGTTGAATTATTAAAAGTTTATTGATGTTATCCGACAAGTGATGAGTCATTCTTTATGACGATATCAAAGCAGCTTCGTGAGCGTTTCCGTTTATACCTGAATCCGCCATTTTCCTGCACGTATATCCGCCGTCCGTTGCTTCGCCACCGCCGAAATACTGAGTGCCGAGGTGCGCTTGTCGCCGACTTCACAAACCGTGCCTTACCCTCCACAATGGTCATTGTCTCTTGCCCTGCGCCTGGCTGCATGTATACAACGCTGGACGAGGACCCCCGCGTGGTCTCTGCATTGCTGAACATACATGCCTTGTCCCATCAAAGTCAAACTGCAGCTTCTTCAAGAGAGCCGAAACTCGAGAGGCCAAGGATTCATATTGGCGTCAACCAAGAAACGTGGAATGCCTTTGGCCGGAGATGGGAAGCCTTCAGGAATGGATCTGCCATCAACGACTCTTCCGCCGCAACCCAACTCTTCCAATGTTGCAGCGAAACTCTGGGTGACCTACTGCTCTTGCAGTCTCAACAAAGTCCTTGAGGCGATGCGGAAGCTCGCTGTCATTCCTACAGCCAAAGGAGTTCTACTAGCTGAGCTAATGCAGATGAAGCAAAGCCCGGATGAAAACTTCCGTATGTTTGCTGCTAGGGTGAAGGGCAAAGCTGAGACCTGTGCATTCACAGTCTTCACTCAGTGCCAGTGTGGCAAGTCTGTCTATGCTGACTACACAGAGGACGCCTCCCGGGGCGTCTTACTGGCAGGAATTGCCGACATTGACATTCGTCGAGAAGCCCTCAGTGCAAGTGCAGATGGCATCCAGTCCAAGTCGGTGAATGATGTCATCGCCTTCGTTGAAAGCGAGAGAAGGCCTGCAATGCCACCCCACTGTCCACGTTCTCTGCAATGTCTAGCTTCAAGAAGAGCATGGCCCAGGCACCAGCAACAGACGAGCGGACACAGACCATCCCATGCCCTGACTACGGACAGAAGTTCCGCCGCTACAAACAGAAGAGTGGCGTGTGGAACACGAAGCCCCACAAACTATGCCTAGACTGCTGGCGTGGGAAGCGGCGCCGCCCTGCACAACCCCGGGAGAAACCTACCGGACAGAACATTTTGGTCTCTATGGGTGATCAGATCTCCCAGGTGTCGGCCGTCACCCTGCAACACAAGATCTTCACCAAGGGCGAGTGGCGGCGGGCCCAGTTCTCAAAACACCCTACAGTACAGTTTGAACTTGAGATCCATCAGCGTAAACCCATCCGGACTACCACAGTGGTAGGGCTAGCAGACACCGGGGCCCAGTCCAACCTGTGGGGTCTCCAGGACTTCGAGAGAGCGGGTTTTGCTGTCAAGGATCCTTACACTGTCCGCATGGATATCAGCCCCATTTCCAGTGGTCAGCACCAGTGCTGCAATAAAGGCAGCCATGCTAGGACCCTCAACGCTGGCTGCACAGATCATCAGGTCACGGAAGGTTCACCTTCCTGCAACTGCCCCCAGAGGTCATCCGTTCCCGATCGTCCCCCATCGCTCCCATTCGCTCCCATTCGCTCCAACCGCGGACTACAACGAGAAAATGTGGGAATTGTTGTTGAAGATGTATGCAAACTCAACATTTAATACCTGGCCCCATCGTCCCCTTCCCTGCATGACAGGTCCCCCCATTGAGATCCATATTGATGATTCAGCCACCCCACGTACATGTAACACTGCAGCACCAGTCCAATGCACTGGCAAAGGCGTGTGTATGAGGACCTCCTACGTGATGAGGCCCTGGACGTCATTGAGAGGGTCCCCTATGGTGAACCAGTGACTTGGTGTTATCGCATGGTCGTTACCAGGAAACACGATGGGTCCCCGAGGCGTACAGTGGACCTCTGTCCACTCAACAAATTCTGTAAACGGGAGACCTTTGCCGCCGAGGCCCCGTTCCTCCTAGCTCGACGTGTGCCAGGGAACACGTGGAAGACAGTTACAGATGCATGGAATGGGTACAACAGTGTTCCATTGAGAGAATATGACCGCCACTTGACCACCTTTATTACACCTTTTGGCCGGTGGCGGTATACCCGAGCCCCTCAGGGCTACCTGTCATCAGGTGACGGTTACAATCGCCGCTTCGACCAGATATTGGCTGATTTCGAACGAAAGGAGAGGTGTGTCGACGATATGATTCACTGTGACAAAGATCTGGAGGAGCATTGGTGGAGGACCATCGACTTCCTGACACTGGTGGGCAGAGCAGGCATTGTTCTGAATCCAGACAAATTTCAGTTTGCTCGACGAGATGTCAAATTTGCAGGGTTCCATGTCTCAGAACATACTAAAGCCCCTCCCAAAATACCTGGAAGCCATTCAATCCTCCCCCACCCCAAAGAACACCACTGACATCTGTAGCTGGTTTGGCCTTGTGAACCAAGTGGCTAACTATGCTCAACTACGAGACGTCATGGCTCCCTTTCGACCCTTCCTGAGCCCAAAGTACAAGTTCTTCTGGACTCCTGTGTTGGACCAGGCCTTCAGTGATTCCAAGCAAGCCATCGTAGATGCAATCCGCCTTGGCGTCGAGATATTCGACACCTCCAAACCTACTTGCCTCCGCCCAGATTGGTCTTCACGAGGGATTGGCGATTTCCTCCTCCAGCAGCATTGTTCTTGCACCACTGGTATGCCAGACTGTTGCCAAGATGGCTGGAAGATCACACTGGCAGGATCCCGCTTCCTTAAGGCTCTGAACAGCGCCACGCACCCATTGAAGGCGAGGCTTTAGCGATTGCCTGGGGCCTAGAGAAGACACGGTACTTCACCCAAGGCTGCCCCAACCTCATCGTGATTGCGAACCATAAGCCACTCACAAAGATCTTCGGAGATCGCACCCTCGATGAGATCTCAAACTCCCGCCTCTTCCGCCTGAAGCAGCGCACCCTGCCTTGGCATTTTTGCATCGCCCACTTACCGGGAAAAACAAACTCTGCAGCAGACGCCACTTCTCGTCATCCCTGTGCATATACAGAAGCATCACCCGAAGACTGCTCTGAATTCTTATTAATTGCATCCATATGTCAGAACGCAGAGGGGCTCACCTCCATCCCCTGGTCTCGGATGGCACAGGAGAAAAAAGCGGACTCTGTAAGTCCCAAGTGATGACGGCAATATCGGAGGGATTTGTCCACGACAACCCATCAATCTCATCCTTGATGCGATATAAGGACTCCCTGTACATCCTAGATGGTGTGGTCATGTACAACGATCGTGTGGTGGTGCCATCATCCCATCGACCGTCGATCTTTGAGGGACTGCATTCTGCACATCAGGGCGTATCAGCAATTGAACTACGGGCCCAAGCCATCGTCTTCTGGCCGGGTATCACCAACGACATCCAATCCACAAGGACAAAATGTCGTGAGTGCAACCGGAACGCTTCATCCCAGGCTCCACTGCCGTCTGAACCAGCAATCCCGCCATCCACCCCTTTCGAACAGATCTTCGCTGACTTCTTCGAGTTCGGTGGCCACCACTACCTCATTGTTTGCGACCGTCTTACCGGATGGTCAGAAATATTTTCTACACCCTCAGGAAGCCCTCACTCAGGGGCCGGAGGCCTGATAGCATGTCTCAGATCGTTCTTCACCACCTTCGGCGTCCCTGAGGAGCTCTCCTGTGACGGGGGCCCTGAGTTCACAGCAAGCGCTAGCGGTGAATTCCTTCAGCGTTGGGGAGTGAGGTAGCGCCTGTCCTCAGCGTACCACCCCCAATCCAATGGCCGTGCCGAAGTTGCAGTGAAGAGTGCCAAGAGGCTTCTCCGATCTAATGTGGGCCCAACAGGGACATTGGACAACGACCACCTACTGCATGCCATGCTCCAGCTGCGCAATACTCCCGATCCCGACTGCAATGTGTCACCAGCCCAGATCATCTTCGGACGCCCCATCCGTGATGCCTTTTCCTTCACTAACAGACTGGAAAAGTTCTCTAATCCGGCCATCAATACCCTATGGCGAGAGGCCTGGGCATTAAAAGAGGCTGCTCTCCGAGCACGTTACACCAGAACTGCAGAGACATTAAATGAACTTGTCAAAGCTCTCCCACCCCTGTCCCCAGGTGACAGATGCTTCGTACAGAACCAAACTGGAAATGCGCCTAAAAAATGGGACCGCACAGAGCTGGTGACTAAAGTGTTGGACCACAACCAGTACATTGCCAAAATTGATGGCTCTGGACGTTTCACTAGACGCAACAGACGCTTCCTCAGAGCCTTCAAACTGGCAACGACTGAAACCGAACGAGCCCCTCCTAGGCAGTCGCCCACCATTCAAGAGACAGCAGCGGTTCCCTCTCCATATATATATATATATCCCCCCCCCCAGCCCCATCAACGCTCCCGCTGCATCCGATGTGACACAGGAGGGCACCCCATGCCCCCTTCCGCACCCTTTCCTGAAACCGCTATCCCAGGTCCCTCGTCGTCTCCTTCTACCATGTCAGAAGCACCGAACACCCCCGTCGTGCCAGAAGTGACTACCCCCACCGGGCAAGAAGCAGCCCCTTCCAGAACCCACAGGGCCTTGCAACGTCTCATGCCACACAATAAGCCAGGACTCAAACCTCTTGAGACTAATGAGAGGCCGAAAACCTCTTGAGACTAATGAGAGGCCGTGAACTTGGGGTTAGTGTTATTGATCAGTTTGATCAGTTCATGTCCTATCATCATCATCATCATCACTCTGCGCCCCTCGGGGACTCATGCGTGTAGATCTACATGTAGTTTCATTTGTCAGTGCGACCATTCATCATTTGAGAGGCAGCGCGGTTGAATCAGGCTCTCGTCAAAATAATCAAAGTGAAGAAACTTGCTTTTTTCGTCAGGTTTGTGAATTATTTTCAAATTTTTGTTTTTTGGCTCAACACCTTTCATGCCCATTAAAGAACTCATTTGTGTGTGGATTTTGATGAAAAACGTTAATTAAAGGCACAAAAAATGGAAATGTTCAGTTACCACTCACTCTTAAGCTGTGGAAATAACTAATCTTTGGCGGCCATTTTCTCACTAACTTTTTCTCTGAAAACAGGTGACCCCCACCTCCTTCGTTAACAAATATCTCGACTTGTATTCAAGATAAATTGATATTTTGTTCATCCAAATAAAGACAATGGAACAAGCTTTAAAATGATACCAATAACTCTACATGCCCAAACATTGACGAGAGCCTGATTCCACCACGCTGCATCACATTTCATTCCGTTCTACATCACCGTCTTGTGTTTTCCATTTCATTTCAGTTGATTTCGTCATCACTTGTAACCCTGTTGAATTATTGAAAGTTCATTGATGTTGTCCGCCATTCTTTACTAATATATTGATGCTCTGTATACTTAGTTCGAGCAAATGCGTCTTACGGAACCTTTCTCCAGACACACATACATTATGATGAAAGTAAAGTGTTCTATCCATCCACTGTCAGGTCTTTCTGCCTGCCACAGCTTCACCAGAGCCCCATCAGCCAGCAACATGTTAAGGTTACCAAGGTCGGCCTTCACGGCTAGCGTAAAGCCCACGTGACATGACGTCACACCGTAGCTCACCCGAACCCAGAAAACCTCTACTCTGTTCTGTTTCCATCTCCCAGGACGAGGACCAAGGGGTTGGACTTTGGGAGACAAAAAAAAAAGGTTAGTAAAAAATGTTTTTTTCTAAAATTTTGTCCCATGCCCGTTCTATGCATTATTCGACGCCATCGTTGAAATTTGCTGACTTAGTGAAAAACAAAACTGACAAAATGAGTTAGTGCATGTTGTTAAAACTAAAACAAAGCAAAAGCAGGGACAACATTTTATATACATAAAATTTGAAAGTACATGAATTCGAACTAACACAGGTTACCTAACACGGTTATTTTGAACAGTTGTATTTTTAAAAATTCTAACATCCTCTGCTCCAAATGAGTCACGAGGCGGGCATTTTCCCACATTCCCACTCCCTAGTGGAGCAACCAAATTTAGTTTCTTCGTCACCATAGTCAAAAATGTCCTACATGTGTGCGCTCAGTCTCATCTACCGGTGACATTTGTTAGGTGTTATATTCTACTCCTGGAGGACAGATCAAAGAGAAAAGAACACATATTATCTAAAGCCAGTCAAGAAGAAAAAGAAGAAGAGGAGGAGGAGGAGAAAACATAAGATAACATAAGGATGTAGGTGTAAAATGACACTTATTAAATAATATTGTTTCAAAGTATAGGAAAATCCTGATATCAATGATTAATCAGGGGAATTTTTTTTTTACTGTTTCTAAGTAAAAAGTAAACCTCATTATTTCCCAAAATAGCTCCACCCGACCTTCCCGAAAAACCTGTTGTCCTGATAACTAAAAAAAAATGTGTATGTATTGTTGTCCTACTAACTGAAAAACATTTATTACATTTGCATTGACTACCAAGACGGGTCAAGGTTCAGTTCCCCTTTGAACAATGACCCATCATGACATCAAATACCATAACAAATTGAGTAATAAAAACTAGCCCATGCCCAGAAAAACAAAAAACAACAACAATCCCCAAGTTTACAAATCAATCTTGCCTATCTCCTTCAACTCTGTCTAAACGCCACGACATCCCCCCCCATCTGTTTACATACACACACACACACACACACACACACACACACACACACACACACACACACACACACACACACACACACACGGCATGCACTTAGATAAAATGTCAGTGGCAAATAAACATCTGTATTTGTTCCCATTATGACAATAAGCCACAAAAGCTTACAGGAAAGTTATATTTGACTGGCCTTGGATAAAGAGAATAACAAAAATAGAGGGTTAGTGTTAGCTTAGCGATATAATCAGAAACCACATTTTACTGAGACTGGCACACTACCTTTTACTGTTTTGTACTTGCTTTGTTGTGTGCGGCCAGCTGTAAGTCTACTTTTGCCTTGGTGAGGTGCCACGAAGGGAGGTCGGGGAAAAAATTGTTGGATGTCTTGTTTGGAAAGTATGTTTTTTGAGGTTCTCACAGACTCTGAGGTCGAAGGGCTTGATGAGTTTTTCGTTGTTTTGGAATTTGTTTATGGCATGGTGTCTGGGTTTGTTTTGAAAATGCAGTCGTGTGCTGGGTTCTCTGGTGTTGAGCTTTGTTTAATTGCTTATCGTAGTGAGAGTTGTGTACGTCTGAGTGCGAGTGATGGTATGTTTGCCTCGGCCTGGAGGCTCTCCACTGGAAGAAGTTTTGTCTTTTGTTTCTGTAGTATATTTCCTACTCTCTTCGAAGTCTAGACTTTCGGTTAAAATGTATCTAATTGTGAAATCTGTGTCGCATTAGACACAGAACGGCTTCTCATCTCCCTGAAGGAGGTTTTGATGTGTGTCCGATGCGTAATCGAGTAAAAATGACTTCGTCTCTACTAGAGAGGCCCGAAGGATTTTGCGGTCCCAGTTTGGGCTTAATGTTGTAAAGTTTGTTGTTTACTTGTTGTTGTTTTTTCTATGAGTCTCCCACAAACTGGAGGTGTAGTTTTTTACTTTATTGTTAAATTTAAAGCCAGTCTGTCACAGTCTGTGGGAGAGTGTTGGTCGTTGATCCTAAGAGAAGGGATAGGAATTCCCTCGCCAGGTGATCTACCTGCTCGTTTCCTCGGATGCCCACATGGCTAGGTAGCCATGCGAACACGATACTTTTCTCGGTTTCAGTCAAGGCGTATTTTTTGTTGTAGCCCAACTATTTTTTGGGTGTAGGACAGGAGCGTGTAGTTTGTAAGTGAGTTGATGTAAGACAGAGAGTCAGAAAGGATATAAGGCACATTATGGGACTTTTATACGCTTCCTTACAATCAGTTCAATTATTACACTGTTGTTTTGACGCCTTTGCTTTAATTGTTCGTCCTTGCCTTCAGAGTTTGACGTTCATGCACCCATAATCAGTGGTGGTATCTTTGACCATTTGTAAACTTATAAACATTCTCTTGTTGAAACTGTTTCTGCTACTAGTAAAAGTAATACATGTACTTAGATCCATGAGTCCCCAAAGATGTGGAATTGCAGTAAATTATTGTAAAGTCTGATGATGATTTAGATGTAGACCCCTCTTTCAAGTTTCAAGCCTGGATTGTGTAACGCAAAAAATGCAAGAAGGCCATATTCGTTGCTTGTAAAACGTGTGAATTGAATTGCTCCTGCAATACATAAAATACAGTCACTTTGTGGAAGAAACAGGCTCATGCGAGTATGGCAATTATAAGAAAAACTAGGATAAAGCCAGAAGAGAATAATTCTGTTGCAGTTGGTTCTTTTCGTAGAATCTATAACGATGAGAGTGATTGTTCAGCATGTGAAACATCGGGTGTCGAGTCCATTGGTGTACCTGAGTAGGCCTACCCAGCTTGTTTGATGTCATCGATAATAGAACATCTAACTTTATCGGCCATCAGTTGTATTATGTCCTCACAAATTGTTTTTGACAAATAAGATGTTTGGCCAGACCCTCTGTTGCCATGCTGCTTGATGTGCTCATGTAGAAACGGGTCGAACTTGGCAATAATCTCTAACAATCTCATGAAATTTTATTGTTTGGTGAACCAAAAGTTTCTTCATCTCTCTGAATGCCAAACCCCGCTCTGAACCCCGCTCTGACTTACATCTACTCAACCTGAAACACTTTATGGTAGAAGGTGCTGCCAAGGAAATGACTGTTTAGAAAGCTCCAAAATCCAATT